TCCGAGTAAACAAAATTGATAATAAATTTTAAAACTACCTCCCACCAAAACAAAACAAAGATCTCTGCCTCTTCTCAAGCTCCAGCTTTCAATATCAATGCATCCTGTTTTTACCCTACCAAAAATAAATTGTTGAATACAAAATGTTATTCTTGTAATAAGTGCAGCCATATAAGTATAAATTGTGATAAAAATATGGTTAAATGTAGACATTGCAATAAAACTGGCCATAAAAGCAATGAATGCGCAGAAAAGAAAGTACTTCATCACAGTGTTCAAAATACAAGAATTTTGAAACAAATATTCATTTTTAATTATAAAATTTCAGCAGTTTGTGACACTGGTTCAGAAATTAGTATGTGTAGCCCTGCTCTCTTTCAAAATTTAGGGTATATTCCTCTTAAACCCCCCGCTATTGTTGTAACAGGTATCAGCTCAGAACAAATTTCCCCCCTCGGATATTTTAAGGCAGATGAAAGCATTGATAATTTTGTTTTAAATGCTAATATTTATGTAGTAGAAAACATGCAATTTGATTTTATTTTGGGAATGGATATTTTAAGTTGCTTAGACATTCATTTTTCTAATGGTCAATTCACTTTTCAAAATTCGAGTATACCAAAAGTAGTAAATATTAAATATAAATCACAGTAAATATAAATAGTAAATATAAATCGCATAATTCCTTGCGAAAATAAAAACATTAATTTTATTCCCCACCAAAGCGGAAATCAAAGCGCAAACATTTCTTTCACTGCTCCATTCAAGGTTAGCAATAATACACAGTCACCCACTCCTATGTTAATTTATGATCAAAGAAAGGCTCACTTTTCTGATTCTGTTTTGACTTTAGAAAATTCGAATATTAATGAGGCTTCACCCAATTATGAAACTGAAACTTTAATAAAATCAGTCATGGCGTCTCCTTTCAAGGCTAGTGTAATGCCCAGATGCAAATCTTTAATTTATGATCAACAAATCCCTCCACTTTCAAATTGTGTTTCTTCTTCTGATACTTTTCAGTCAAATAAATATTCAAATAATTTAGAAGTTTTTTCTTTCTTAACTCAGATCTCAAATGTCATTGATCATAATGAATTCGATTTATCACATATACTGAATAAGAAATTAAAGCAAGATTTAACTCTTTTGATTAATAATCATAAACCGTCTCAGATTAAATCCTCGGACATTAAAATGAATATTATTTTAAAGGATGAAATTCCCATTTCCTAACATGCTCGTCGTTTGTCATTTAAAGAGCGGGAAATAGTTGAAAAACAAATAGACACCTGGTTAAAAGATGGTGTTATTCGTGGAAGTTGTTCAGATTTTTGTGCGCCTATAGTCCTTTGTAAAACGAAAGAGAATTCCACGCGAGTTTGCATCGATTATAGGAAATTAAATTAAAAAATTGTTCGAGATCGATTTCCCTTACCCCTTATGGAGGACATATTAGAACAATTAGGCGATGCACAGGTAATTTCTTCTATTGATTTGAAAGCAGCGTTTCATCATTGAAGTTGAAGAAAATAGCCGTAAATACACATTCTTTATTACGCATAATGGCCAATACGAATTTTTACGGGTACTAATTGGTTTGGTTAACAGTCCCAGTGTTTTTCAGAGATATATTTTACATGTTTTTAGAGAATTAATTAAAGATGAAACTTTAGTTACTTATTAAGATGACATTTTCATTCCAGCAAAAAATGATGAGGAAGGTTTTAAAAAAATTAAAACGTGTTTTAAAAAAAGCTGCTGATAACGGATTAGAATTAAATTTTAAGAAATTTCAATTTTTAAAACGTTCTATAGAATGTCTCGGTTACATAATTGAAAATGGCAAGGTTCGCCCTTCACCCTCTAAAACTTTAGCAGTTAAAAATTTCCCGCAACCTAAAACACATAAAAAATTAATGAGTTTCCTTGGATTAACAGGATATTTCCGTAAATTTATTCGAAATTATAGTAAAATAGCTAAACCTCTCAGTGATTTGCTTAGAAATAATGCTGATTTTAGATTCGGTAAGGAACAAAAAGAAGCTTTTCAAAAGCTCAAGATAGCCTTAACGAATGACTCAGTCCTTCATTTATATAGACAAAATTCTGAATTAAGGCTCCATACAGATGCTAGTAGTTCTGGTTTTGGAGCAGTTCTTCTTCAAAAAGCAGACAATGGTAAATTTTATCCAATTCATTATTTTAGTAATAAAACATCCCAACAACAAGAGAAATATAGTAGCTATGAGTTAGAAACTCTTGCCATAGTTGAAGCACTTAAAAAATTTCGAAACTATTTGTTAGGTGTAAAGTTTAAAATTATAACCACTTGCGCTGCTCTCCGAAGTACAATAAGTAAAAAAGAAATTATTCCTAAAATTGGGCAGTGGGCGTTGTATCTTGAGGAGTTTCACTTCGATATGATACATCGGCCTGCTACACAAATGAAGCATGTTGATGCCTTAAACAGAAATGTTGCTCTTATAATTCAGCATGATGAGGTAACCATGAAAATAGCAGCTGCCTAAAAGGAGGATGAGCAAATAAACACTATTAAAACATTAATTGCCAATGGAAATGATAATATACACTTTATTAAAAATGATATTCCTTATCGATACGATAATGGTAGGGATCTTTTAGTAATACCAGACGCGATGCAAAATGATATCATTAAAGAAGTTCATAGTAAGGGACATTACGCACTCACTAAAACTGAAGAAGCTATTAAACAAAATTATTATATTCCTGGTCTAAAAGCAAAAATACAATCTGTCCTAGCAAATTGTGTTGACTGTATTCTATACAACCGAAAGTGAGGAAAGAAAGGTTTCTTACACCCGATTCGTAAAGAAGATGTACCTTTAAGTACATACCACATTCACTTTATAGGTCCATTGTCTTCAACAAAAAAGAAATATCAGCACATTTTTTTCTGTGTTTATTGGTTTTTCGAAATTTGTATGGCTTTACCCCGTCAAAAATGTAAGTGCTCAAGTTGCTTTAGAGAAATTGCGGTTACAACAGACAACTTTCGGTAATCCCTCCAGAATTATATTAGACCGTGGTGGGGCATATGTGTCTAAAGAATTTAAGGACTATTGTCTAGAGGACGATATTCAACATATTCTTATAACTGCTGGAGTGCCTCGTGGAAATAGGCAAGTAGAGAGATTGCACGAAACTCTCATTCCCATTCTCACAAAGTTATCCATCGATAACCCAATGGACTGGTATAAACATGTGAACGATGTGCAGCGATTTATAAATAGTACAATTTCCACCTGTACGAACAAAACGCCATTTCAACTAATGATAGGAATACCCATGAAAAACAAAGAAGATTTACGGATTAAAGAAATTTTAACAGACGAATATGAAAACTACTTTATGAAACAATGAGAAGATCTAAGAAGTGATGCACAGCAATGAATTATGGAAAGTCAAGAGCAGAATAAATCAACCCACAACAGAAAGTGCAAACAACCCCACAAGTACAGAAAAGATGACTTAGTGGCGATTCAAAGAACACAATTTGGAACTGGTTTAAAGTTGCGTCCAAAGTTTCATGGTCCTTACAAGATTGTTAAAGTGAAATGCAATGACCGATATGAAGAATAAAAAGTTGGGCAACATGAAGGTCCTAACTTAACAACCACTGCTGTAGACTATATGAAGCCATGGACAAATTAGTGCATATTTACTGATGAAACGATGCAACTTTGATTTTTTTCCTTCAAAAATTTTTTATGTATTTGTTATTTGTTATGTTTGTTTTGTAAACTGCTTTGTTTTTTTTTTTTTTTTCTCTTTCCAGATTTCTTTTTAGTCAATCTGTTTCGAGGACAAAACCCGTCAAAATAGCCGAGTGTGTAACATGCGAGACAACAGTCTCTCTGTTAGTACGCCAGATGTCGCTCGGCTGAACGAAATGCATAGAACTTTCCAGATGCAAAGGAAGAGTGAGTCAATTGGAATTGTCTGTTGAAGTTGTTTCCATGTGAAAACCGGTAACCTTAGTAGTTAAGAGTCTGAGTGACTATGTTATTAGTTAGTTGAAGTATGTTTCTGTGTGAAGCTTTAAAACCTGTGTGGTTCGATCTTAATTGGTTAAGAGTCTGTGTGACTCATGTTATTATTAAAGAATAAGCATAATCATTAATGGTGTTGAGTGACTTTACTAATGGTAACAAATACCATTACATATATATATATATATTTAACTCTT